CTTTTATTAAAGTTCGTACAGCGCATTTAAAAAAAGAGAATCTTATAGCTTTTTCTCACAATGCACCAAAAGGAACCACTTCTTTTCTCACACTCCATTCTCCCCCCTCTTTTTCTTCGCTAGAAATCTCTGTTTACGAGAGTGAAGGATTCCCCTCCTCCTCCCTTAAATCTTTTCGCTAGGTGGGGGGGGATCGCGCTTGACTCTTTTTCTCCATGTTCGACAACTCACAGTTTCAGCCGCTCTTTTTCTTTTTCATCGTTTGTTCGCTCTTTGTCTTTTTATCCATTTGTTCGCTTCATCACTCGGTGACATCTGGTGGCTCCGCTAAACCCCGTTCGGGGTCGCTTGCGCGGCAAGGTCCATTGGGGCATGGCGGGATCCTCAATTTCCGACCGTTTGGCCGAGAAAGAGGCTCCCGCCTGCTGCGCCCCGGGTCAGAGCCCCCCATCTGGGGCTCGTCTGGGTCTCAGCTCGCGCGGATTCCCCCCTTAACCACAGGCAGGCGAGACGCCCTCGGGAGCGCCCCGAGGATGCGTCCGCCATTCGCGGAAGCCAGACCGGAACAAGGAAATAAATATGTTAAACTTAATGCAGTGTGTTGGATCTTACAAACGGGTTTGAAGTGGGACCGTCCCCTTCTCACAGCCCTTATGACCAGTGTTCCCTCTAAGCTGAGTGAGCGTGACCTAGCTCACAGTCTTTTAGCCTCCGGCTCACAGACTTTTGCCTTAGCTCAGGAAGGAGGGCTCCAGAGCAAACTAATTTATGCAGCAGCCAAGCCGCTTGCTCACAACTTTAACGCCAGTCGCTCACAAAGTAGATTTTTTGCTCACAAGACTCCCCAGCTTAGAGGGAGCATTGCTTATGACCCCTGTAAAGCCGGTGTTAAAGAAACCTTATAGGCAGATCACAGCCTGCTAAGGGATGGCCGCAGGGACTATGGGGAAATCTGGCCAAAGTGATTCTAGCGCCCTGATCCCCGTCTCTTCCAAGTGGAGCCAGCTGGGTGACCTTGAGTCAGTCACATGTTCTCTCAGGGCTGTTCTCTCACAGGCAGTCCTTGAAAGAGCTCTCTCAGCCCCGCCTACCTCACAGGGCGTCTGTTGTGGGGAGGGGGAGGGGAAGGAGATTGTAAGCTGCTCTGAGACTCCCAAGTGAAGGGCGGGGTATAAACCCAATCTCCTCCTCCTCCTCCAGAGGAAGCTTAGTGGAAGGTTGCCCCTTGTGCAAAAGAGAGAGGCAATATGCCTCCAGCTCTCCGTTTTTGACCTGTACTGTACTTCTGGGATACTTGTGCAGATGATACCAGAGCTTATAGTTAAATCCACTGTTTGTCCTAAGAATTACAAGCTGCTCTGCCCTGGTGGAATAAATCTTTCCTGCTGCCCCTTACATTCCTGTTTTTTTTATTCCTGCTACAGTTGTTAAAGCCCATTATGCCTAATTTTGGAACATATCGGGTTGGATCCTCGGAACCCTCTGCTGGTAGTGGGGTTCCTGGTAGGTGCAAGAGGCAGGAGGGGTGATTTCGGCCACCGTTGCCTCTTTGCTGCACGACGTTTGAAGAAGAAGAAGAGGAGATTGGATTTATACCCTGCCCTTCACTACCCAAAGGAGTCTCAGAGCGGCTTACAAACTCCTTTCCCTTCCCCTCCCCACAACAGACCCTGTGAGGTAAAAGAAGAAGGAGAAGAGATTGGATTTATACCCCGCCCTTCACTACCCAAAGGAGTCTCAGAGCGGCTTACAAACTCCTTTCCCTTCCCCTCCCCACCACAGACACTCTGTGAGGTAGGCAGGGCTCAGAGAGCTCTGACAGAAACTGCTCTTTTTCAAGAACAGCTGTGCCAGAACTACGGCTTGCCCAAGGTCATCCAGCCAGGTGCAAGTGGAGGAGTGGGGAATCAAACCCGGTTCTCCCAGATCAGAGAGCACGCACTTAACCACTACACCAAACTGGCTCTCAAATAATTTGGCGTCATTGGCAGGATACTTGGGTGCAGGGGAAATTTCGTAGAAAAAGAAGTGCAGGAGCTCATTAGCGTAACCCATTAGCATAACTTATTTGCATATGCCACACCCCCTGACATCACCGGACGTGTGCCAGAAGGCAACACCCACTGCTCAGGCTCCACTGGACTGTTTTGGATTGCTAGCTATGGGGGGGGGGGATGTGCAGATCTGTCCTCGCAGAGGAGGGAGAGCTTGTACCTGAATAAAACTTGGTCTTAAAGGTGCCACTGGACTGTTTTGGACTAGGGGGCCGGGGGGAGCTCTGCAACTTACCTAGCTGCTTCTTGCTCTGAGTGAGGGCTGCTGGGAGCAGGGGGTGGGGCTTGTTGCATGTGCCCACCCCCATGGCTCTTTACTGCCGGAGCTCCGCTCCTGTGCACTCCTGCAGGAAATGACCCCTGCTCGCGTGGATCCCCGTAAGCCCCCGATGCGGTCTTTTTGTGGTTCACATGTGGCTGCTGGGAAAAGGGAAAGGTGAAAACAGTCCACTTCCAGCAGTGCCTTCCAACGATGGTGCAAATAAGATGTTCTTATCATTTTTGTTACATTCAGCTCTCCCCACTCTCAAAAAAAAAATCTCCAAAAACCACACAGGTACAGAGTGTGAGAACTTAAAAACTCAAAAGAAGGCCTCAAAGGAAGGCCATCATCAGACAAAGGACGTAAAAAAATAATAATGATGCAGGGGGAATTTTGGTATGTCTCCTTGAGGACGTCACCGGCAACCAGTGCTGAGCAAAGGATATTTAAATAGGCGTGTGTCCAGTGTGTATTTTGTTTATCCTATCCCTCCCCCATTTTGTGTGTGTGACCATCCCCTCGTCCTTCAATGAACTTCGTGGCGGGGGGGGGCTTTGAATTCCACTGAATTTATATTATAAACATTTTTATTCTAGTTCATTAGGCTGCTTGATATACACGTATGCACTTTTTATGGCTTGGTGGTTTGTTTCGATAACTGATAGCTGCGTGGCGATTTTTATTATTGTATCATGCTGTTTTTTTACATTATAAGGTGCCGAGAGCAGGACTCTGAAGAGGCAGGATGTTTCCTAGATAAATGAAATAATTACTGACTATCATTTCTTTCTTTGACGGCAGTTTCGGTGATGTCGAAATTGCCTGGCGTCAATGCACTGATATTGTGAAAAGCACTTTGCCGGAAAAAGGGGTTTCAACACACTAAATTGTAGTTAAAGCCCATTATGTCACATTTTGCAGTCTTTCGCAAAATGTTCCATTGTCCTTTCCGCTGCTTGTGTGAATAGAACCCCCCCCCCCCCCCCCCGCTTTCTCCCAAAGAACTATTTCAGACTGACGCATTCTCTGTTTTGATTGGAGAAAGATGTCAATTGTAGCTGCCAATCGGAATGGAGTAGTTCCCTTTTGTCTGCCCTTTGGTGAATGAGAGACGTCATTGCCTAAAATGTCTATTAGTACAGGTATCAAGCCCCCCACCCCGTGTAGCCAGTCCAGTGTTAAAGAGAACCGCGGATGGGTTGCTTCGTACTCTGAGATTTGCCGTCATATACAAAGAAGTAGATTTTGCAATCTGAGCGTGGTGTGAAAAGTCTCCTTTTGGACAAAGCCACCAACTTTCTTTTCTTCTTTTTTTTTTTTAAGTACCCATAGGTACACTTTTATTAATTTTTCTTTTATAATCTACAACAAACAAATCTACACACTACAAACAGACACTCTACTACACATAATATATATACCAAGAGCAGTGTTCCCTCTAAGCTGAGTTGGTGTGAGCTAGCTCACAGTTTTTTAGCCTCTGGCTCACACATTTTTGTCTTGGCTCAGGAAGAATGGCTCTAGAACAAACTAATTTATGCAGTAGCCAAATCCCTTGCTCACAACGTTAACGCCAGTAGCTCACAAAGTAGAATTTTTGCTCACAAGACTCCACAGCTTAGAGGGAGTATTGACCAAGAGTACAGTTACATTGTATGCTTATATCCAATTAATTAATAAAAATGCTCTATCAGACACTTTCCATTCTTCTGTCTTCTGTGTTCTCAAGTCTAATGTGCTATAATTGCCTAATCTTCTATTATATTTACATTATACCAATCATAAAACTTCTTCCATTTTTGAAATGTCCACTCTTTGCTTAGTCTCATTTCTAAAGTCAGTTTATCATTTTCTGCTGTTTCATAAAGTTTATTCACAAACTCCTGTTTCGTTGGTATCACCATAGTTTTCCAATATTTGGCATATAAGATTCTTGCAGCTGTCGTCATATAAACAGTCAAATACCTATTCTCTTTTTCATAATCATTTGGAAATATATTCAACAGCAACACCTCTGGAGTAAATGGAATCTTTGCTCTTAGTATCTTCTCCATCAAACTATGGACCCATTCTTCTCCATCAAACTATGGACCCATCCCACCAACTTTCTGACATACGTTGCTGTTGTTGTTCAGTCGCACAGTCGAGTCCGACTCCTCACGACCCCATGGACCAGATCACGCCAGGCCTTCCTGTCTTCCGTTGTCCTCTGAAGTTGGCTCAATTTCATGTTTGTTGCATCTATGACACTGTCTAACCATCTCATCCTTTGCCGTCCTCGTCTTCTTTGACCTTTGGTGTAGTGGTTAAGTGTGCGGACTCTAATCTGGGAGGACCGGGTTTGAGTCCCCACTCCTCTAGTTGCACCTGCTGATGTGACCTTGGGTCAGTCACAAGCTCTGGCACAGCTGTCCTTGAAAAAGAGCAGTTTGTGTCAGAGTTCTCTCAGCCCCACCCACCTCACAGGGTGTCTGTTGTGGGGAGGGGAAGGGAAAGGAGATCGTAAGCCGCTCTGAGATTCCAAGTGAAGGGTGGGGTATAAATCCAATCTCCTCCTCTTCTTCTTCTTTCCCAGCATCAGGGTCTTCTCCAGTGAGGGCTCCCTTCTCATTTGGTGGCCAAAATATTGGAGCTTCAGTTTCATTATCTGGCCTTCCAGGGAACAGTCCGGGTTGATTTCTTTTAGGATTGACTGATTTGATCTCCTTGCAGCCCAAGGGACTCTCAAGAGTCTTCTCCAGCACCATAGTTCAAAAGAATCCATTCTTCGGCGCTCGTCCTTCCTTATAGTCCAGCTCTTGCAGCCGTACATGACATACAGGACCCAAAAGGACACTTTCACCATTCTCACATTGCAAAACGTGTACTTACGTACATCTTTTCTCCCCAGTGGATGTCCAAAGGTTTTGTGAGTAGTCGTGCGATAAGGCAGCAAATTTTTTTTGTTTCAAAGAAGCCTCCTCATAGACAATCAGAAGGTCTTTCATGGATATGAATAGTCCTGTCGTGTTATCTTGTATTGCCAACTGATTGTCCCATTAATTAAAAATAGTTTGGGGGGGTTCACGAGAAAGGGCCTTTTTGTTGGTGGCCCCTCGGTTATGGAACGACCCCCCCCAGGAAGATGGTGCCTGGCCCCCCTCACTTTCCATCATTAGGAGGCAGCTGAAGACTGCTTTTTTAAAGGCCCGCATTGGATTAAAAGAGTGCTCAATTGTGGTTTTAAATTTTGGTTTTATGTATTTTAGGGTTGGAAAATTCCTGGGGTTTTATCGGGTGAAGTTGGGGGACGGTGGGGTTTGGGGAGGGGCCCTAGCGGGGTCTAATGCCATAGAGTCCACCTGGCCCCACTGGTGGACCTCCTGATGGCACCTGGTATTTCTGGCCACTGTGTGATACAGAGTGTTGGACTGGATGGGCCTTTGGCCTGATCCAACATCGGCATCTCTTATGTTCTTATGTTCCAGAGGATCCATTTTCTCCAGGGGAATTGTTCTCTGTCGCCTGGAGCTCAGTTGTAATCCCAGGAGATCTCCAGCCACCAATAAAGATAAGTTGCAAAAACGTTTACTGCAGTCATCCTGTAGAAAATGTTCTTCTATAATTGCTCACACGCTAACAAATACCGTGCACTGAAAAGAATCCGTTTCACAGTATTTGCTTTATCTGAATGTGTAGCAATTCCAACCCTTGTCAATTACTACTTATCGACTCTTGAAGGAAACATTCTGTGTTGACTCTTTAATACCAGAACCTTGGATTGCTACACGCTCAGATAAAGCAAATATCGTGAAAAGGATTGTTTTCATTGCGCAGTATTCGTTAGCGTGTGAGCGGTTACAGAAGAACATTTTCTACAGAATGACTACAGTAAACGTTTTTGCAACTTATCTTTATTGACTCTTCATTTTTTTTTGGGGGGGACACCGATGTTGTGTTTGGTATTCCCTCCCGTGATCTCTCATTTTTGGCTTCTACCACCTGGAGGTTGGTAGCCCTATTTATTTATATTGTAAGCCGCCTTGACCACCATAAGGGAAAAAGAAATTGATAAAATAAACAAATATGTGTATATTTTTAAAAAATCACCTGAATGTCTTCTTCTCCCCCCCACACCCCAGCATCTAAATAAAACCTACAACACAGATGTTCCTCTGGTACTAATGAATTCATTCAACACCGATGAAGACACGAAGAAGATCCTGCAGAAGTACAGCCACAGTCGTGTGAAGATCTATACTTTCAATCAAAGCAGGTATTGAAGGCATATGCTCAATGTTGGAAACAAGATAAAGTTCCTGAAATTGGGGAATGGATTAAAAAACTACTTTTTATGGTTGAAATGGATAAAATGACAAGGAAACTTAATAATGTGGAAGCAGAAGAATTTTTTGCAGACTGGAAAGACTTTAAAGAATATTTGGAGAAATACTGGGATGTAAAGGACAATTTACTTTGCTTTGAGAGTTATTGAAAATTAAAAGATAGTAGAAAATAGATAAATGTATAAGAATAACAGTTGAAGGATACGTTACCTGTGGATATGAATAAGGGGAAAAGGAGGTATGGAGAAAATTTAAGAATTGGGCTGGAGGTTGGAGCACTGTGGGAAGCCGAGAAGGGGAGGGGGAAGGTAGGAGGGATGGATATATAACCAGGGGTCATTTCGTAGAAAAAGAGCTAGGGGAACTCATTAGCATAACTCATTAGCATATGCCACACCCCCTGACATCAGGGGCCCGGCGGTGGACCTGCAAGGCCAGCGGGAGTGCGAGGAAGCCCCGCCAAGGCGCTCCCTGGCCCCAGGCAGGTAGGGGTGGAGAGAGGCGGGGAGGGAGCAACTTACCCTCCCTCTTCTCCTGCCTCCTCCTGGCTGAATGAGGGCTGGAAGCGGGCGGCCGGAAGCAGAGGGCGGGGCTTCATCATGTGCCCCGCCCCCTGCACCTCACCCGGGGGAACTGTGTTCCCCCGCGTTCCCCCCGAAATGACCTCTGTATATAACTGTATAAGTTTTGAAGTATGTTTGAACTTTTTTTTACTATATCCTAATAAATAGGTTTTTTTGGGGGGAAAAGCAGGTATTGAAGGCCGTTGGCTTCGAGTCTGGAAAGTGATATGTGGCTAAGTGCTTTCAAGGGGCTGGAAGGTTGTACCCAGCACAATCGCTGGTGATGGAGTTTTCTGTTAGTGCCTGGAGTCTCTCCCCCCCCACCCCGCTAGCAGAATCCTTCTGCTGAGGGAGGGGATCCGTTGTCAGCTGAGCAGAGTTGCTAATTATGAGCCATTCTTAGATTGCGAATGCGTAAAGGAGCTTTGATGCACGTGCAGACCGTACACAGGGTTTCCAGTGCCATCTTCTCTCCCCACTGGATACGCAAAGATTTTGTGAATAGCTGTGCGATTAAAAACAGCAGATATTTTTTTAAAAATTTCAAAGACGCCTCCTTGTAGTCAGTCCAAAGGTCTTTCACGGGTGTGGATAGTCTTCTCATGTTATCTTCTGCTGCCAGCTGATTATCCCGTCAGTTAAAGAAGCTCGGTTTGTGGGACACGAGAGGGGGCCTTTTTGGCGGCGGCCCCCCGATTATGGAACAACCTCCCCAGGAAAGTCTAGTAACAAAATAAATATACACTGCAAGGAACTTTTCGCAGTCAATTTCGCATCGATATTTTTAAAAAGTCAACCCCCCATGGGAGTTTCCGGAATCGCAAGCCCGCTTCTACTTGCACGAAGTCTTCCAAAAGGGGGCTTGACTTTTTAAAAATGTCGATGCAAAATTGACTGGTAGTTGTTAAACTGAATGAATTGAATAGATGTACCTGATGAGGATGTAATAACAGCACACGCTGCACTTTATAGAATGATAATTACAAATAGAACATGTTTATCTAGAGAAGTTCCTTGCAGTGTATATTTATTTGTCACTAGACCCTCCAGGTGGGGCCTGGAGGTCTTCCAGAATTACAGTGGATTTCCAGAGTATAGAGATCAGTTCCCCTGGAGGACATGGCTGCTTTGGAGGATGGACTCTGTGGTCTTGTACCGTTCTGAGGTCCGGCCCTTCTCCAAACCCCGCCCTCTTTAGGCTCCACCCCCATATCTCCAGGAATTTCCCAACCTGGAGCTGGCAATCCTATTTATTTTGAATATTTTGTGTCCCCTGCCTGCCGTCTTGGGCACCCAAGGCATGGAATGCATTTAAAATCCTTTCAGGCCTTAAATATTCCCCCCCCCCAGAATGTACGTCAACACTTCCCTGTATTTCAAACGTTATCCTTAACCACGGAGACTCGATTGGCTGTGCAGGTTTTACAATGGATATATATTTTCTTTGCAGGTATCCACGAATTAATAAAGAGTCGTTGCTGCCGATCGCAAAAGACGTGTCTTATTCAGGCGAGAATACGGAGGCCTGGTATCCCCCGGGTCACGGGGACATCTATGCAAGTTTCTACAATTCCGGATTGCTGGATAGATTCATCAACGAGGGGAAGGAGTATATGTTTGTGTCCAACATCGATAACCTCGGCGCCACCGTGGATCTCTACATTATGAACCACCTCATGAACCCGCCGAACGGGAAGCGGTGTGAATTTGTTATGGAAGTCACAAACAAAACGAGGGCAGACGTTAAGGTGAGTGGAAACATGTATTGGGACAAACGCTCCCCTCCCCCTGTCACACGGATCGCCCGGGTCTGATTACAGGCATGCAGGGCAGGACACGTGCACAAGGGTTCTTCATACTTTACGTGTACAAGGTTCAAATTGCGAGGGATGCCAGTGGAAGGACAAAACCTTTCGATTGAATAAACGGAGCTTTATTGTAACTAAATGCAAAGTTGACAATACTCACGTATGCAAAAGTATTTTATTTATTTATTTTATTACATTTATTTTGGTGGGGCTGCCGGTGGTCGTGCTTGGGGGGTGGATTGGAGCCGACATAAAAACAATGGCAGCCCCACCAGCCCCACCCCAAAAAATCCCCCCCACCCAAGCCACAGAATCCTGGCTTTGGGCCTGACCTGTGTCCAACGTTCCCTCTAAGCTGTGGAGTCTTGTGAGCAAAAATTCTACTTTGTGAGCTACTGGCATTAAAGTTGGGAGTGAGCGATTTGGCGACTGCATCAATCAGTTTGCTCTGGAGCCGTCCCTTCCTGAGTGAAGACACAAATGTGTGAGCCGGAGGCTAAAAAACCGTGAGCTAACTCACACTCACTCAGCTTAGAGGGAACACTGCCTGTGTCCAGCTCAATTTGATGGTGACAAGGTTTCCTTGAAACAGACGGCATCGGTCATTCACAAGTCCCTTCGGCTGCATCGGGGTTTTTAAAAAGCCAGTTAGTGGTTCCGGGTAGCTGTTTTAAAGCAGGTGGAAGAATGAAGACTTCTTGGGGGGGGGGGCTGTCTTCTCCCACCTGTGATGCCGGTTGCAGTTTTGGAAGATATGTTTAAATCTCAAAAGGGGGAGCGGATTAAACTCCGACCGATTTCACACAAGAGCTGTGCCGTGGTTGCGCCTCCTTTGCTCCACTTCTCTCGGTCAGTTTCCCACTCGAAGCCGCGCAGCCGTATTTTGACTCACGGCTCCACCCAATTATCCCGGCGGTTTCGTGATCCTCAAAAAACAGGATTACAAAATCGCAGGGGAAATTGGGCGAAGCCGTGGGTCAAAATGCAGCCGCGCAGCTTCGAGTGGAAAATTGACCAATAGAAGCGGGGCAAGGGGAGGCGCGACCGCGGCGCAGCTCTTGTGTGAAATCGGTCTCCCTTTCGCCAGCATCGTTTCTCTCAGTCTTCAAATCTGCCACTCCCGTTTGGCCCTTAGCTATGAATGGCCACAAGTGGAATCAGGGACACACCCACACACAGTCTTTTGCTAGAAGCTGTCTCCTTGTGCGCAGTCCACGTGATTCCGTTCCATGAAGATCTGCTCCGCTTTCCCCAGGGCGGCACGCTCACGCAATACGAGAACAAACTGCGGCTGGTGGAAATAGCGCAGGTGCCAAAACCGCACGTCGACGAGTTCAAGTCTGTTTCCAAGTTCAAGATATTCAACACAAACAACTTGTGGATCTCGCTGACGGCGATTAAGCGGCTGCAGGAACAGAACGCGATCGATATGGAGATTATCGTTAATCCAAAGGTAAGGGGTGGGGGTGGGGGAAATGACGGTTCACCCCAATCTGAAAGACTTCACGGGAGGCTGGAGAAAAATGGGAAATAGGACAGTGGGTGGGGCCTCGGCTGGCACGACCGGGTGTGTGTCTTCATTCTCCGTTTGGCGTCGGTTCAGCGGGGCTGCCCACCCGCTCTAGGATCCCATCCTCGTCGCCAATGGTCAAGTATTGACTCATGCCGTTGTAAGTAAGTGAAATCAGCTTTATTATCAACAAGAACCTCAGAAGAACACACAACCCAAACAGTGGAGCATAGCTCCCTTCTAAACTATCCCGGGCTGAGGTAGCCACACCCTAGAATAGTTAAGGACCAATAGCATTGTTACAATAATGTCCAATCAGGTTTGTTCCCTCCGGCACAGCTCTCTTGCATCTGATTGGTTATACTTAAGCATTAGCCAATAGGCTCTTTCCAGCTTAGAATCCTGGCTAAGGTCTCAAGCTTAACATGGCATTTAATACAGTTAATACACAACACCTCCGGGTTGCGTTTGTATCTGGCAGAGCCCGGACCTGAATGGCCCAGGCCAGCCTGACCTTCTCAGATCTCGGAAGCTCAGCGGGGTCAGCCCCGGTTAGTACTTGGATGGGAGCAAACGCTCCCTCTCTAAGCTGTGGAGTCTGGTGAGCAAAAATTCTCCTTCGTGAGCCGCTGGCATTCAAGTTGTGAGCGAGCGATTTGGCTACTGCGTAAATCAGCTTGCTTTGGAGCCCTCCTTCCTGAGCT